TAGGATTCTGTTTATCCTGATTTTTATTCTGTCCATCTCTTGATGTGGTGCCCTAAGATAGCCTCAGAGGATTTTCATGCAATATGCAAACAACAGGGAAGAATTAACGAATTCATTTTATAAATTAATGTAGTAAGATAAGCAATGGGAGTCCAAGCCCCAGGGCTCTTACTTCCTAATTAGATTTTGCATGTATTCCTGATGTCTTCAGCCAAAGATAAGAATAATGAGCTCAGTTGTTGGGGGGTGAGAGAGAGAGAGAGAGAGAGAGAGAGAGAGAGAGAGAGAGGTTAATATTGGCAGGCACCTGCCAGCCCCTGTCATGTGATGACATCACTTCCCCCAGCCCAGATGAGGAGGCTTCACGGGTCCCCATTACAGTCAGGATGGTGCAGGTGCTGAGTCTTGCATGAAAAATGCGGCACTGTAACTAAAAGGCTACTTCTGGACATGCCCTTGAACTTGAGAACCCTTGTGAGTGAACTGAAAAGACATGCTTAAATCACATTCAAGAGTGTTTACAAATACTACACATTTTCATAATATATATTCATATATATTAATTTTTTTCCATCTTTTTGAGACAGGGTCTTCCTGTAGCTCCAGCTGGCCTGGAACTCACTGTGTAGCCCAGGCTTGCCTTGAACTCAGAGATCTGCCTGCCTCTGCCTCCCAAGTGCTGGGATTAAAGGCGTGTGCCACCACACCCGGCTCATGTATATGAATGTGCCCTGCAACTCTGCCAGGCAGTGCTTCTTTCTTAGTGAAAGCAGGTTTTGCTCTTAGGACTCCAGCAGCAGGGGAGCAGGAAGTTCCACAGAAACATCAGTATTCCCAGTGTAGACCCTGCTAGGGCTGAAATTATTCACTGAAGTAGATTTGTTCATTATTTAGCCTGAGACTTCTTTTCAGGTGCTGCACTCACAAAGATATAATGGGTTCTTGGCTAAATGGTACGTGTGGGCTACTAATTCACAGGGATTCCAGAGGAGGGACCCCAGGACTGTCAGGAAAAGCAATCTCAGGCCAAGCAGGCCACACTGGCCATCCCTACTTTCCAGTTGGTATCAGCCAGTACCAGCCAGCAACGCCATTTTCATTTGGTCCCAAGTTCAAGACCTGTATCTTGGTGTAGGCCCTTGGGCCTGCTTTTCCTCATTCCCCGCCAGCCACAGAGGGCTTCCCACCTCTGCTCTCTCACTCACTCACTTCTCTTCCTGCCACGCCTCCCTCCCATCTCTGCCGTGCTTGCTTTCACTTCCTCATTACTCCCTGACTTTTTCCTACACATCCTGATGTGCCTTAGTTTCTCCTTTTCAGCTTCTCCTAACTTGTTGAGGCATCTCTTGCTGTGACAGTCTGCATCAGGATGGAGGAGGTGCGGCTTCGTTTCTAGCTCGGCCCACTGCTTTACCTCCAGTGTCATTCTTCCACAGCTCAGCATTTGTCACCACTGCCTGCATGACACCATGTTCCTTTCTCCCCAGACCCAGACCTAGTAGTTCTGAAAAGACCCAGGTTACATGTTGCCTCTCCCATCCAGGTCCCTGTGTGGGCTGGTTGGGGCTTCCTCCCTCTCTCCCTTTGCATTTTCACATAGCCGTTGAGCTGTGGGAGATACAAGGATCCCAGGAGGAGCCCTGCAGTCAGACTTGTCTGTGAGAGGTTGGGGAGGCGGGCAGGATGTGACAGGGGTGGGCAGTAAGGGGCTGCAGGGAAGTATAGATAGTTTGACAGATTCTACCTGGGTATGTATACATTTATACCACCCAGGTACAGAGAGTATTTTCACTACCTTACAGATCCTTCCAGAATCTTCCAGCCACCACCATCTCCTCCATGGGTGACTCTATGCTAACTGTGTCACCATCAGTTGGCTTTGTTCTTCACTTTTGGTTCCTTTGATTCTTTGGAGTCTCTTGTGCTTCTTGAGAGATGGAAGTCTCATTTGAGGTGGACCTTCTGAGCATCCCTCATCGCATGTCTTAAAAGATTCACCAGAAGGTCAGGCCTGATGACACACCTGTAATCCCAGTAACTCTGGTTGCTCAGGCAAGAGGATCACAAGTTTGAGGCCAGCCTGGGTTACATAGTGAGGCTCTGTCAGAAATAAAGAAAAAGGGAAAACCTCACCATAGTTCTGTAGGGTGCTTGTTGCCTGCTGCAATTTCTAGAAAAGGAAATGAACGCTTACAGAGGTAAGAGGATTATCTAGGCTCACAAACTCTTACTAATGGTGGTAGAGATGGACTTGGATCCTAGCTAGGCTAGCCTCTCCTGGGGAAAAGCCCCACATTTCCCTTACCTCATGGCCTTCCCTGCTTTCCAAGTAAACGTGTTTTCTGTTTATTTCATGCATCCTTAACATATTCTTTAAGTTAGTATTTCTTGTACCCCAGACTGTCCTCAAACTCAATATATAGCTAGTGATGGCCTTGAACTGGTGATCCTTCTTGCCTTTACCTCCCTAGTGCTGGTTCTATGTGGTATTTGAGTTGGAAACCAGGGCTTTGTACATGCTAGGCAAGCACTCTACCAAGCGAGCTCTATCTCCAGCCCTTTAACTTGTCTTATAAGCCCCTTATTTGCAGAGGTTTCACCTGGTTGGTTTGATAACCACTGGGGCACATCTGGTTGGTGGCAGTATGTTCATCAGAAGTTATAGATGAGGCTAGCTCAAGTTTGCTAACTGCCTGGCTCTGAAGAGTATACAGTGGCTGAAGAAACAGTAAGTCCTAGGCAGTCCCCCAAAACATATAACAGGACTATGCAAAACCTAACTTAAAGGGAAAGGAAAGATGCCTGTCCCAGTTAGAGCAGGCATGTCATGGCAGAAGGTTTCTTTCTTGCCTCTTGCCTGCTCCCTATGGTGCATGCTTTCTGTCAAGAATTGGGTTCTGACTGTGAAGCCTGGATCCACTCCCCACTCTTGGGTGACCTGAGAGTTAAGCAGGCTAAAATAATGCTGCTGCCCTGAGCACGTGGGTATTCTAATCTGAGAGTACCAAGTGCCTGCCTGCCCCTCTCCCCAAGGACACAGTGACAACCTTGCCTTTCCTGTGTTTTGGAGGCCCTCCCAGAGGCAAGGTCTCAGCAGGAGGGGGGTGGTAGATGAGCCTGAAAGGGCCAAATTCCAGGGCCAGCCACCTGGTGCCCAGAGTATACATACATAGAACTGTGGCAGAATTATGATCTCTTCACTCAAAATGCAAATCATCCCTCAGGGTCTGTCCTTGGCTTTTGACCAGTTCTAAAGCAATAGAAATTGCTTTCTGTGAGTTCACAGAACCCCAGCCTATGGCATTTGTTTGACATTCGGAGAGATACCTCGCTAAGGAAGGCCCACTCTTAAATACCGACCTACTTGGAGATATATGCGGCACAGCAAAGTTCCCCTCTTCTGGGGGAGGACTCTTCTGCTCAGGAGATGGTGGGGGGCTGAGCTGCACAGTGTCTGCTTGATGAGAGCTGTCATTGCCCAGTGAGTGGCTGGCTGGCCTTGGTGACTGAAATAAGATCTTCCCCTTGTGCTACATCTGGAATTTGGCCTTCTCAAGAGTCCCAAAATAGCCAGTCTACTAAAGGGAAAATTTCATGAGAGGACACGAGAGGGACCCCCAACTGCTCCTCACTTAAGCAAGCTTTGCTGTACTAAAGAAAAGAGAATTGTTCTGTGATACTTTTAAAGCATGGAAAGAAAGCTGTATTTGAACCACTGACATAGCCGTAGAGACCACTGCAACAGGTAGAAGAGAAAGAGATGGTGCTCAGGTCTCGGTTTATCATGAACAAGGCTCAGGGTGAGGCGTGTGGAAAGAAAGTTACTCAAAGGAGAAATTTTCTCAAAGGCAAGGGGGATTCTGACTAACCCAATCTAACAAGATTCTCTTTTTCAAAAAGAAAATGTTTATTTAATGTGTATGAGTGTTTTGTCTGCATGCATGTAAGTACATCATGTGCCCAAGAAGACCAAAGGAGAGTGTCCAATCTTCTGGAACTGGAGTTAAGGATGGGTGTCAGCCACCATGTGAGTTCTGGGACCTGAACCCAGGTCCTCTGGAAAAGCACTAAGTGCTCTTACCTGCTGAGCCCTTTCTCCAGCTCCCTTGTGAGAATTCTTAAGAAGGAAAACCAGGAAGACTAGACATCTTCTGAGGAAGATTGGAAATGGGGTAGAACCAGGAACCTGCTTAAATATCCAGGGTGATCAGCTACAAAGGAGGGGCTTCTGGTGGACTTTACTTAGCAGTTCTTTTGCTAAAACTGGATTTTACAAGGGAGTACCCAGATGGGCCTAGGAGACGGTCCAGCCATGCAAAGACCCTTGTGATTTGGCCTCATACAACTGGCTCAATTAATCCCTGGGTTTCATTCCCCTCCTATACTACTTCTGTATTCCAGTATACCCCCCTTTCTTGCGGTTTGTTCTAAAAATATTCACAAGGAGTTAGACACACACACACACACACACACACACACACACACACACGCTACTTCTCCATAAAGATTTCCAAACTGTATTCTCAGTTTAGTCCCAATACAAACTATGGTTGGGAAACTACAAGGCCTTTTTGGAAGCAAAGAAGCTTGCTGTAATTTAGTATTGGAATTGATTCTTCCCTGGGGATCACTTTCTGGCTCGGGTCTCTGAGGATTTTGCGGGGCAGTTAGCTACTTTCCTGTACTACTGCGCCATAGTCACCTAGGTCTCCCTATCATTAGTGTGGGACATTGGGACCTCTCTTGTGTTCAACAAACACCTTGACTCCCTGCTTTTTCCTAATGCCCCTTAGATAAAGTACTGATCACACTGCAGACTGTAGGAAATGTGGGAGAAGCACAGCCAGTGGAATAGCCTGGCCCCTTTGCTCAGTGAGCTTGGCTAAACTGTGGGGCCCAAGTTACTCTGGTAGATCAGAGCTGTCTGCACCTCTGTTTCCTCTTCAGGGGCTTTCTAGCCATTTTCTAACCAGTCCATGTTTCTCCCCATTTTATTTTAGGAAACTCCATCCTCTGCCAACGGCCCTTCCCGGGAAGGTTCCAGGCTGTTGCCCGCTAGGGAAGGCCATCCTGTATACCCTCAGCTCCGACCAGGCTACATTCCCATTCCTGTCCTCCATGAAGGCTCTGAGAACCGACAACAGCCTTTCCATGCCTATGCCCAGCCTGGGCCACAGCGATTCCGAACTGAGGCAGCAGCAGCTGCTCCTCAGAGGTCCCAGTCACCTTTGCGTGGTGGCATGGCAGAAGCCACCCAGCCAGATAAACAATGTGGACAGGTGCCCGCAGCTGCAGCAGCTCAGCCTCCAGCTGCCCATGGTCCTGAGGTAAGGAGAAACCTGACTTATCTGAGGCCAGGTATCCAGTAGCACAGAGGGCTCCAGGGCCCAGCCTGAAGCATCAGATGTCCTTGTTTGCAGGAGCAGTTTGCTAGTCCCACAGTGTCCCAGGTATCTCTGGGCTGTTTTTCTCATGGCTAGGCGTCACATAACTTATTTTTGAGTAAAAGAATTGGGACTGTGCAGCACTTGGGAGGCAGAGGTGGCAGATCTCTGTGAGATCAAGGCCAGCCTGGTCTACATAGTGAGTTCCAGGACAGCTGGGGCTACAGGAAGACCCTGTCTCAAAAAAGACTAAATATATATATATATATATATATATATTCTGTTCTGTTCAGTTCAATCCGTATGAATGAACATCAGTCACTTGGAGCTATGCTGGTAATGAAATCAGGACTGCATCTCTGCCTTCAGAATGTCCTGCACTTACCGAGCCCAAGTCGCAAGGGCAGCAGCTTTAGAAATGGGCTTGAGCAGCTCAGCACTTAGGGGTACATTAATTGCTAGCGAATATTGCTCATCTGGTTTTGAGTTGAGATCTGTGGCCAGCTAACCTGGGAGTAAGCAGTAAGCCCTCATTGTCTTCCTGCTGCACGTCATTCCCTGTGTCCACTGGTGTTCTTGAGCACAAACCCTTTTTTCCTGGCTTTGTCAAGCGTCCTGATTGCCTCTCAGCTTGATTCTGAGTCTTGTTCTTCACCACTGCTTGGGGGTGGAAAGCCGTAGTTCATGTGGTCTAGTGGAGGCCTTGCTCCTTCCCTAGAGGTGTAGTTCCCATGATATTTCCTTGTGCAAGCCAACATGTCACAGCAATCAGAGGAATCTTAGCAAATTTAAGTTAACAAAGTCCTTAGGAGCCACCTGGGGTTAGGTTTGCCTCACTTTTAAGGTAGCATGGAAGTGAAGGGCCTGGCCTACTTTTGGACACAGGCAGCTACCAAGGTGATCCATTGCATTCTCTGTAGATGAGCAGAGAAAGGGTTATGAGGAAAGGAGGAGGAGGTATTTAGTAACAACAAACACAGTGGACCTGAGCCCTGCCTATGCACACTGCTGCCTGCCCAGGCATGTGCACTGATGAGTTCATTTCATGTTCAAAGCAACCCAGTGAGGCAGGCAGGCTGTTCTTCACATTTCAGGTGAGGCTGTTGAGCTATGAAGGGCTTGAACCCAGGCCTTTTTATTCCACAGCTCTCAGAGCCTTGCACAGGCGAGGCAAGTACTCTGCTAGTGAGTGTCCTCAGCCTTCTTGGTTCTTAATACTACATTTTTGTTGTTGGTAGTGCTGGGGATTGAACCCCGGGCCTTACAGAGGTACACACATAGCCCTATCCTCAGATTTTGAGAATGGAAGAGTTTCTAAGTGGGAAGCTTTAGGAAATGTGTTGTCTTGGCTAGGTGCCTAGAGGAAGTTTGGAACGCCAAGACAGCGGGGTTATTCATGGCACTGTTCCCTCTGTCCTTTGTCTCTTGTAGCGGTCTCAGTCTCCAGCTGCCTCTGACTGCTCATCCTCGTCCTCCTCAGCCAGCCTGCCCTCCTCTAGCAGGAGCAGTCTGGGCAGTCACCAGCTCCCCAGGGGCTACATACCCATCCCGGTGATACATGAACAGAACATCACCCGGCCAGCAGCCCAGCCCTCCTTCCACCAAGCCCAGAAGACCCACTACCCAGCTCAGCAGGGTGAATACCAGACCCACCAGCCTGTGTACCACAAGGTCCAGGGGGATGACTGGGAACCCCGGCCTCTGCGGGCAGCATCCCCGTTCAGGTCACAGGCCCGGGGTGCATCCAGCCGGGAAGGTTCTCCAGCCAGAAGCAGCACGCCAGTTCACTCCCCATCGCCTATCCGTGTGCACACCGTGGTCGACAGGCCTCAGGTATGGGGGAGTCCGTGGTTGGTTGCAGTGCAGGTGGCTGTGGCAGGGGCTGAGGAGTTCCGTTGATGCCTTGGGCTTCCTCACTAGCCCTGTCTAGACAGCCTAGGTACAACTGGAGAAAAGTGGGATTTCAGAAATTGCTGGTCCTTGATAAAAATGCAGGACAGGGTCTGTTAAACCCTCAATACTTTCGGCAGCTTTTGCTCAGCTCATGGCTTCCCACTGCAGCTGCCCTAGGGACAGAGGAGAGAGCTTGGCAGTGCTGTCTGTTGTCACTCTTACACTTGGGTCTGTTCCTTAGTGCCCACCACACATTTCTGAACCCCTCCAGGCCCTGACTCACACCCTAGACACAGTCTGGTTTCTGGTCTAATATGTAGAATGTTTCCCTTCTCTATTCTCTAAGTCATTCTGTCACTCCCTCTGGGCCTTTGCTCAGGCTGGACTGGCTCCATGAATCACCTGTACAGTCCTCTCATCTCCCTGCCCTCTAAGGGGTCAGCCAGGCCAATTCCTTTCTCATGATGCCTTGCGTGGGCCCCTTTTGGTTCAGCATGTGATTATTCTGCTCATGCCAGATGGTCCTCTTAGTTCTTCAGCTCTGAACCTGACAACAAGGGACCATGCTTGATACCTTTCTCTTCCCTCTACAGTAGAGTCCTGTGGTCCCTGGCTGATGCATTTGGCCAATGGTGGGTAGGAAGCCATCCTGGCCTGGTGGAGGTCATGGATATATTCTCCATTGGTCCCTCTGACTGCAACTTGACCAGCTGAATTATTCTTTACCACAATAAAAAAAGATTTATGTCTATTATTTTAAATTATGTGTATGTGTGTGTGAGTGCAGGTGTCCTCAGAGGCTAGAGGCATTGGATCCCCCTTGGGCTGGAATTACAGGCAGTTAGGAGCCACCAGACATGGGTGCTAGGAATTGAACTCGAGTCCTCTGGAAGAACAGTATATACTCTTAACCACTAAGCCCATCTCTGCAACCCTTTACCACAGTTTTTAAAAGGAAATCCTCTATGAGTAAATGTGGGGTATTCTTTTACTAAAAGGAGAGAATACATTCATCTTTAGCTTGTGTGTGTGCGCGCGCATGTGTGTATGTGTGATGTGTGTTCCATAGGTGTGTGTGTGCTTATAGATGCCCATGGTTGACGTCAGGTGTCTTCCTCATTGCTCTCCATCATATATATTGAAGCAGGGTCTCTCCCGTGAACACAGAGCTTGCCAATACAACTGGACTGGCTGGTCAGCTTACTCTGGAGGGATCTCATTTCTGCCTCCTAAGTACTGGAATAACAGGTGGACCACCATGCCCATCCAGATTACATGGGTGCTGTCATGCTTACACAGGAAGCTCTTTACCTGCTGAGCCATCTCCCCAAGCACTATCATTAGCTTTTTAATTTGGAAACAATTTCAACCTTTCAGAAAAGTTGTAAGACTTATGCAAAGACATCCCACGTGTCCTTCACCCTAAGTTCACTGTTTTGTTTATTTGGGTTTTGGGGGTAGGGGCAGAGTCTCCTGCAGCCCAAGCTGGCTTCAAATTTGCTGTATATCTGAGGATGACTTTGAACTTTTTTTTCCTTTTTGGTCTTTTTGAGACAGGGTCTCCCTGTAGCCCCAGCTGTCCTGGAACTTGCTATGTAGACCAGGCTGGCCTTGAACTCAGAGATCTACCTGCCTCTGCCTCCCAAGCGCTGGGATTAAAGGCGTGTGCCACCATGCCCAGCTGACTGACTTTGAACTTTTTGGAAGACTTTTTTGACTTATTTATTTATTTTATGTCTATTAGTGTTTTGTATGCATGCATGTATGTATACCTGTGTCATGCAATTCCCATGGAGGTCAGAAGAGACTGTTGGATCCCCTGGAACTGCGGTTACAAATGGTTGTTAGCTGCCATATGGGTGCTGGGAACCAAACGAAGGTCCTCTGTAAGAACAGTCAGTGCTCTTAACCACTGAGCCATCTCTCTCCAGCCCTGATTTATTGATTGATTGATGATTGATTGATTAATGATTGATTGATTGATGATTGGTTGGTTGGTTGGTTGGTTGGTTGGTTGGATTGAGACAGAGTCTCACATAGCCCAGGCTGGCTTCAAACTTGCTAAATAGCTGAGGATGACTTTGAACTTCAGTCCTCCTGCTTCCATGTTCTAATTACTGGGATTACAGGGGTGCACCACCATGCTGGGTTCATGTGGTACTGAGTATCGAGCCCTGAACCTTATATACTCTAGGCAAGCACTCTGCTCAATGAACTACATCCCAAGGTCACTGTTAACGCTTGCTGCATTTGCTGTCATTTCTTCTTTCTGTACATCATCTACATATTTTAACTGGGTGAGGCTTACTGGAAAATATTGTGCCCTTTTTCACCTCTAAATACTTCAGCAAATATTTTCCTAAGAAACAGACAACCACCATAGAATGACCAGACTGAGGACACTTAATATTCTTACAATAGCATCATCCAGGATACTGATCACTTTCCAGTCTCCTTCACGGCACTTTCCCATTTTGGGATTCAGTCCAGGACTGTGAGCACTGCCTTTTGATGTCACTTCTCTTTAGTCTCTGGAATTGTTCCCCAGCCTTTCAATGCTTTCATAACCTTGACATTTCTGAAGAGTGCAGGATGCTCTCTCCTGTGTTTCTCCTTCCACAGCCTTCCACTGCTTTTAAAACCCAAAGCAGGGTGGAGGTTTGATGAGTGGCGAGGGCTGATGCTTGACAGAGACCATGTAGTGGGAAAGGAGGAGGCTGCCAGTGCTAGATAGCTATGCCACTCCTGAATGCAGTAACCCTGGGAAAGAGTGCCCATTGTCTCCCACAATGCTGCTTTCACCTCTATTAACCTCCACCTCAGGAGCCTCCCTTTTACATCTTGTTTAAAGCCTTTTAGAGGCTTTCAAGGATTTGATTTATCTGACCATTAAAGTAGAATTAATATTTTTGCTTGGGAATGCTTTAGAATTGCCATCACTTGTCATTTATTCCCCAATTGATGAAACTGGGACGTGCAAGATTTTTAGAGATACTGGATATTTGCTTAGATGCTAGAAGACCATGCAGTTCCTATTTTAAGTATAGTTCATGTTTTAAAAATATGACTGTGGCCTCCAGTCCCGGGAAGGACTGTGCAGCCTGCGCAGAGGTGCTGCATTGAGGTCGAGTGCTGGGCTCAGTGTACGGAAGCCAAATTCTTTTCAGGTTGACTTTTTTAATTTGTTTTTGTTTTATTGAGACAAGGTCTCCCTGTAGCCCTGGCTGGCCTGGAACTCACTATGTAGACAAGGCTGGCTTCAGGCTCACAGAGATCTGCCTGCCTCTGAGTGTACCACCATGGCTGGCTTGGGTTAACTATTTTGAACATCTTGCTTATTCTCAGAAAAATTACCTGAGTCTGGGCAGAAACCTCTAGGTTGTCACAGATCTAAAAAAGAAAAGCATTTCTTTCTAGAACAGGAGATGAAAAGGTCATCCGTGAGACGAGCTGGACAGCAGAAAAAAGGAGGAACCCAAGGCAGTGACTGGCTGCGCCCTGAGTTGGAATCAGGATCTGCTCTGAATAAATCCCACTCAGTAGCTAGCATGCTGTTTTCAGTTTCGGAAAATTATATTGACTTGCTTTTCCTTGCCATAAGAATATCATCTATAGAAAAACTGAGTCCAGGGAACAGACGAGTAGCTCAGAGTAGTCACTGGAAGCTTAGCAAATAATTTCATCATATACGTGATTGATACCAAGCTTTTATTTTGGCTATTGACTGACCTTTTAAATCTTTTTATGAAAGTCATTTTCTGCACAAGCAAGATGGCTCAGTGGATAAAGGAGCTTGCTGTGCAAGCCTGGCGATCTGAGTTCAGTCCCCAGAACTGACATAAAGGTGGAAAAGGAAAATTGACTCCACAGTGTTGTCCTCTGACATCCACATGCACACTGTAACATGTGCATCCACATATACATGTAATCATACACATAACTTGGACAGCTTTCTTTCTAATTGGCTACAAATTGATGCCTGTGACTTCATCTAGTTATTAACAGTTCCTTTGTGTCCTCTTTTCTCAGCAACCCATGACCCACCGGGAGCCTCCACCAGTTGCCCAACCTGAAAACAAAGTAGAGAGCAAGCCAGGCCCATCTGGACCAGATCTCCCTCCTGGACACATCCCTATTCAAGTGATCTGCAAGGAGGCAGATTCTAAGCCTGTTTCCCAGAAGCCGCCCCCTCCTGAGAAGGTGGAGGTAAAGGTATCCTCTGCCCCGATTCCTTGTCCTTCTCCAAGCCCTGCCCCTTCTGCTGTCCCCTCTTCTCCCAAGAATGTGGCTGTGGAGGAGGAGGCGGCCCCCAGTCCTGCTCCTGCAGAAGCTGCACCCAGATCAGAAGCTGAGGCTCCGCCCAAACATCCAGGCGTGCTGAAAGTGGAGGCCATTCTAGAAAAGGTGCAGGGGCTAGAGCAGGCAGTAGACAACTTTGAAGGCAAGAAGACTGACAAAAAGTACCTGATGATCGAAGAGTATTTGACCAAAGAGCTGCTGGCCCTGGATTCCGTGGACCCCGAAGGCCGGGCTGACGTCCGTCAGGCCAGGAGAGACGGTGTCAGGAAGGTTCAGACCATCTTGGAAAAACTAGAGCAGAAAGCCATTGATGTCCCAGGTCAAGTCCAGGTCTATGAACTCCAGCCCAGCAACCTGGAGAGCGATCAGCCGCTGCAGGAAATCATAGGGATGAGTGCCCCAGCGGCCGACAAGGGTAAGCAGAACCCTGGAAACGAAGATCAGCAAACTGAAAGCCAGCAGCCAGAAGCCAAAGCAGCCGCGGCTCCAAGTCCCAGCAGCGCGGCAGACTCAACTGGCAACCCGGCACTGTAGTCTCCCCTGAGTAGAAATCAGCCTGGGAACTGATGGTGTGCTGTAGGGACTTCTAAGTTGCATGCACTGCAGGGACTTGCAGTCGGTTGGTTTTTATTTCGCATAGACTCTTGGTACGCAGTAACTTGGGGTGGAGGTCAAACACTAATAAAAGGGCTGAAAGAAAAATGATGCTTTTCTTCTATAGTCTGTAAAAATAAGGAAGTTGCTTGTTTTCAGAAGCTTAACCCTGTTGCTTGTTTGGGAGCCCTGTCTGTGCATGGGCTACATGTGTTAGCCACAGTTGTGAGCTGTCTTCCTGTAGCTCTGAACTGAAGGAGTTCTGAGAGGGGGATAGTCAATTTCCCATCACGTAAATATGAAATCTGTTTTTGAGAAATGTTGCCATTTTAATAGGATGATTTTCAGCTCATCATTCAAATATCTAACTTTAGCTAGAATGAGATGTGTAAGGAGCCATAGGATTATCTATGTGTTGAATGGCTTTAATGTTACATTTGGGGGAAGAAAAAGAAAATAAAGCAATTATATAACTCACAGTGGTTTCTGTGATTTCTGAAAGTTTGAAAAGTAGCATCAAGATTGTACCAACACTGGAGAGATGGCCCGGTGGGTAAAGTTTAGATCCCCAGCTCCCATGGAAAAAGCTGGGCACAGCAACACCCACTTATAATCACAGCACTGGCGAGGTAGAGACAGAGGAGCTCTGGGACTCTGGTCAGCCAACCTAGCAGAATCAGTGAGCTCCAGGTTCAGTGAGAGACCCTGACTCAAAAAATGAGGTAGTGAGCAATTGAGGAAGACACCCCGTGTTGACCTCTGGCCTCCACACATAGGTGTGTGCGCGCACACACACAAGAAAACACATACAAGAAGATTGTTCCTAACAGTCGAATAAATGACAGATAAATGTTCAAGTCTGCTTTGGGATCTCTACCTGTCTGGCTCCTGTGAGAGTGAGTCTTGGTTATTTTTGAGTCTCATACAGCTAGAAGTTGAGGACTCAGGGTTGTGGGCTCAGGTGGTGGAATGTGCTCGCTGTGTTTCTTAAGATCACCTTGGTGGCAGTCAAGGTACTTCTTGGGCAGCATTCTTACCCACATGGCTTCAGGCCTTACCACAGGGCTGAGATGGTTTGTGTGTGCACAGGGAAGCCAGTTCTCTCTGTTACCAAAGTGCTGTGTGGAGTTTGGGTCATTAGGGCTTGGAACTGTGCTCTGAGTCTTGGGGTATCCTTAACTGATACTTCTGAGTCACCAAGCTGGATGAGACCAGGTTTCTCCCCACAGACTGGGTTCCTGGAAGCCTCTGGGGTTATGGGCCAGCTGTACTCAGACGATACTAGGTAGAATTTCTTTCTGTGCCAGTGCATTTAAAGCTTGGGAGGGGCCAGCAAGATGACTTAGTAGGTAGGTAAAGGCACCTGTTGGCAAACCTGACAATCTGAGTTCAATCCTGAGGATCCACATGGTGAAAGGAGAGAAGTGACTCCTACAAGTGTTCTTCTAACCTCCACATGCATACCATGGCACACATACATTTGTGCTTGCACACACACATACACAGAATAAATAAAAATGTAATAAAATTAAAGCCTCAGGAAAGATCGTAACCCCCTCAGTGTGATGTGCCAGTCAGTCTCTGTCTCTCTTTGTCTCTCTCTGCCTGTCTCTCTCCCTTACACTCTCCTCTCTTCTACTCTTCTCCCTCTCACCTCTCCTCTCTTTTCTCCCTCTCTCTTTCCCTTCGACTGCCCTCTCCTCCCCTTTCCTCTCTCTCTTCTCTTCCACCCCCTTTCCCCCTTTCTTCCCCTCTCCTCCTTCCTCTCTCCTCTCCCCATGCCAAAGGAAGAGAGGGACCCGAGACATTAGAACATCAGTGAGTGCTGATTAAGAGCCCTGAGCAGAGTTCCTCATGACTGTGCTGGGTTTAATACTGGTGCCTGACGGTGATGCACAAAAATACACACCGCTGTACTTGCCACTCTGAGAAAGGCTGAGGTCATTCCTATGGGAGCCTGCCAGCCTCATTCCTGAGTGAACTCCCTTGGGGAGGACAAGCCGGCATGCTTCTAGAAACTCAAATGTAAGTAGAGGAAGAAACCTCCTGAGTGTAGGTTTTTCCATGCCAGTTCTGTCAATGAGATCTGAAGCCTCATATGCTAAGCAAGCACTGAGCTACAGCCCCAGTCTGATCATGTTTTTAAATGGGCCAAGGGCAGAGTGGAACATCTATGCTTAATTCATTCCAAACATTAAGATTCCTTGAATGGTTACTGACTTAGGTTGATAGTATTTTTATCACTAAACATCATAAGTAGCTCTTTTATATGGTTGGACTACTTTGAGGGCTGGAGAGATGGCTCAGGGGTTAAGAGGATTGGCTGTTCTTGCAGGGGACCAGGGTTTGGTTCCCAGCACCCACATGGTGGCTAACAACTGTCCATGGCTCCAGTTCTGAAGGATCCAGCGCCCTCTTCTGACCTCTGCAGGCATTACATGACCTCTGGTGCATCTACATCCATGCAGGTAATACACTCATACACCTAAAAATAATAAAATATTTTATAATATGGTTGGAATACTTTCAGCTCTCCAAGTTAGAGGTAATGTGGACATTGAGATGGGTTATTGTGGTGGTTTGGATGAAAATGTCCCACATAGGCTCCAAGTGTTTGGACATTTTGTCCCCAGATGATGGCACTGTTTTGGGAGGTTTTAGAAGGTGTGGCTATCCTGCAGGAAGCACATCACTGGGGGTGGGCATAGAGATTTCTTAAGCCTTGCCAGATCTCCAGTCGCTCTCTTGCTTCCTGTACCTGAGGGATGATGTGAGAGCTTAGCTTCTGCTGCTCCTGCTCCAGCCACCTCCAGCCACCACGCCTCCCTGCCATGACGGACTGTAATTCCCCTGGAACCGTAAGCGCAAATAAACTCTTCCTTCTATAAGTTGTTTTGGTCAGTGTTTCTATCACAGCAACATGAAAGTGACTGATACAGTTATTTAGACTGATTTGGTCCCTGGGTCTTACATGGGGACCAAGCAAGTAAAAGCAAGGCTTTTACTAAGGTAACTGTTGTGGCCTTTGTAGGAGTTGGGGGGCAGGTACCCTGCTGACTATCTAGTGAGTGTCAGGGAACCTTGTTTCATTAAACCTAAACTCCAGTTTCAGTAGTTAGAGAACACTGTAGTTAAGACCACAGCCTTTAGTCACTCAGAGTTCAAATCACAGCTTTACTGTATGTATAAAAGATTTAAGACAGTGACCAGTTACAGAGTCTTTCCTTCCCCAGGTTTCTCATTTGTAAAATGGAGAAATGATAAATGAATTCCGACATGCAAAGAACTGAATGTGATTCATGGCAGATGACAATAGTTAGTTGTAATTAGCATCATTTAACAGATGAAACAGGAAATGCTGGCTATACAGCCAGGAGCAGACAGGATTTGAATTCGGATCCACCACCTCAGTCTCAACATAGCATTCATGATCTAGAGCTAAGTGAGCTCTGGTGGCTGTATTAGTTATTTTCTCATTGTGTGACAAAATACCTGACACAGGTGATGGAAGGAAGGAAGGAAAGGGGTAGGGAGGGAGGGAGGGAGGAAGGAAGGAAGGAAGGAAGGAAGGAAGGGGAAAGAAGGAAGGATTTATTTTAGCTCACAGTTTCAGGGTACAGTCCATCATGGTGGGGAAGCCATGGTAGCAGGAGCTGAGGTACCAGCCACATTTTGTCTACAATTAGGCAGCAGAAAAAGGGTGAATGCTGGTGCTCACCTTGCTTTCTCCTTTTTACTATCTTGGACCCCAGCCAGTGGAATGGCACCACCCACATTTAGAGTGGATATTCCTAGTTCAATTCACCTAGTCTAGAAACTCCCACAGATAGGGCTGGAGAGTTGGCTCAGCACTTAAGGGCATGGCTGCTCTTACAGAAGACCTGGATTTGATTCCCAGCACCCACATGGCAGCTAACAATCATCTGTAACTCAAGTTGCCTGGGAATCTGATGCCGATGCCCTCTTCTGACCTCTTTTGGCACTGCATAACACAGGTACACATACATGCAGGCAATATACTCATACACATAAAATGAAAATAATAATAATAAAAAGGAAACTCACAGATGTGTCCAAAAGTTTGTTCCCATGGTGATCTGGTTTACTGTAGGAAAGCACTATGTACTGGTGGGTAAGAGCCATACTTCAGAGGTTGAATTTGGACCTTTTTATGGATTAGTGCTATGTGGTGCAATGCTGGACATCAGTGCAAAGTTGAGCAGCTGATGAAAGCCATAGCTTGGGTTAGCTAGGCCATCACGAGAGGAAAATGGTCAGTTCTACAGTGCTCTGGGTTGCTAAACCCAGAACATTCAGCAGATTTGTGACATACATGCATTTTCTTTATTTAAATATTTAATTATGGGGCTCAGCAGTTAAGAGTACTGGCTGCTCTTGCAGAGGAACTGGGTTTGGTTCCCAGCATCCACTTGGCAGCTAACAAGCAACTGTAACTCCAGTTCCAGGGGATCCAAAGACCTCTTCTGGCCTCTGTGGGCATTGCACACATGTGGTGTATTTACCTACATGGAGGTAAAATACTCGTACACATTTTATATTTATTTATAAATAAAATACAAAAAAATTTCTTAAATATTTTATTTATTTATTTATTTATTGGTCTTTTTGAGACAGGGTCTCCCTGTAGCCCCAGCTGGCCTGGAACTCATTATGTAGACCAGGCTGGCCTTGAACTCACAGAGATCTGCCTGCCTTTGCCTCATGAGTGCTGGGACTAAAGGTGTATGCCACCACACCCACTTTAATATTTATTTTATTTTAAACTAAGCATATATGTGTGGGGGTATGTGCATGTCAGTACAGTTGCTTGCAGAGATCAGAAGGGGACATTGGATCCTCTGGAGCTGGAGTTATAGGAGGTCATGAGTTGCAAGGCTTGTGTGCTCTTAACTGCTGACTCATCTCTGCAGCCCCTGCATTTCCAATTTATGACATAGTTGATGTGTGATGGATTTATTGGCATATTAGACAGCTTTAGTTTTCAACTTGACATATCTGGGTAGAGGGAATTTCAATTGATAAATTTCCTCCATTGAATTGGCCTGTGACCATGTCTGTGGGGCATTTTCTTGTTTGTTGAGTGATGTGGGAAGACTCAGCCCACTGTGGGCAGTACTACCCCTAGGCAGGAGGTCTTGTGTTGTATAAGAAAACAGGCTGTGCACAGACCTGGGGAGCAAGCCAGTAAGCAGTGTTCTTCCATGATCTGTGCTCCAGGTCCCTGCCTTGAGTTCCTGCTTTGGCTTCTCTCAGTGATGAACTGTAACCTGGGAGATGTGAGGTAAAATAAACCCTTTCCCCCCCAAGCTGGTTTTGGTCAGTGTTTTCATGACAGTAATAGAAAGAAACTAAAACAACTGGCCCAAAGCGGAGGAGCATCTGTTAGTGGCGGTGTCTACACTGAAAGCCACAGGCAGACTACAAGCAGCCTGTACCCTGGGTGTGGTTCCGAGCAT